AAATCAATGTTGGTGTGGAAGTTGTTTTTATAATATTTCGTTTCAGTTAGACTTGCTAATTTGTACACATACAGATTTTCTTTTTATGTATGAATACAGACAAAACTTATGGGGGGGGGGGAGAGGGGGATTTAACCACTTAGAATATTTCTAGTATTTCATTGTTTTTCCTATTGCATGGGCACAGAATTCTAAATCTAAATATATATATTAAATGAAAATGTATGAATTACACTTTATATTTTACAAAATAACTGGAAATATCTGGTTTTTCACAAGTCTAGTTCATTGGCCTATAGCATCCTTAAAATGATCTGTTAAATGATATTAGAAATACTTAATTATACTATTCAACTCTTAGAGCTCCAGTGTAATTTCATGGTTACAAATTCTCTTGTCAGGTAATAAAACAAGATGAACTTGGCAAGGATATGTCTGACTGCTCTCTTTTTGATCTGTTGAAATATGATGATTATAATAGTGACAAGCATCTTGGCCTGGAAGAATTCTATAGAGCATTTCGTGAGTATGATTCCTGATTTTATTCCATACAAAGTTATTGGTTTTGGAAATGGTATAGATACAATTATGAATCTTATATTGAAAATGAATCCCACTGTAATGGAAACCCTCCTTTATTTAAGTCTTAGTACTTATCTGCAGAGCCTAGCTGTCCTGCTGCCAAAATGGGGCAGCAACATTTAGTTGAGTAGAAATGAAAGACATCAGCCTTTACTCACCTTCCTCCCATTACAAATTCAACCTTTAGGTGTGTTTTCCTTCTGCAGTTTGAAAGTAGTCTCTTTTTCTGATGTTGCTTCTAATACATTTTGGCTGGAATGCTTAGTTCCTTATAGTCTATCCCCAGCAATTCATTAACTGTTTTTCAAGGAAGGAATGCTCCCTCCACTGAGGCAATAACCTTATCTCTAAGAATGAAATTCTGTTTACTATCATTTTTAAAAAATAACACAGAGGTTAATAACTTTGCTTTGTATGTGAAAGGTTGCTATTTCAAAACCCAGCAGATTTTTTTTTTTTAATTGCTATTTCCTTCTTCTTTCCCAGCAAGCCAAGAGCTCTCTCTCTCTCTTTAAGTACAGGTTCTACCATTTCATTCTTCTTCCCATCATTTAGGTAAATAACTATTTCACAGTGCAGCAGCTATCATTTTCCTTTCTCCCAATATAGTGTTACTACGTTGAGGACAGGACCCACAATTATTTGCTGGGGGAAAGATAATGGTCATTATCTCCCTACTATGTGTTGATGATGCTCATTCTTCAGTTAAAAAGAAGAAAAATAAACCTAGCCTTAGGCTATTTTTGTTTTGTTTTGTTTTGCCTAACAGTGGTAGGTGCTGAGTTTAGGCTTAGGCTTCCGTGCAACAGCTACAGTGTACACAGTTTATGTAAGATGATATTTATTTTAGCAAGACTTTGTTTACTTTTGATGGTCATTGCTTTAAGAAGGTTCCGTAGCATGAAAAAGAATTGATTGAAAAATATTTGAAAAAAAGTGGTCTGTGGAAAAATATGAAGTCTGCTAACATAAAAGAGTTTTTTTTAAAAAAAAAATTCGGAACTTTTAAGAATTCAGTTCATTTTTACATATATTTTGTAAAATCTTAGACAATTAAATTCTGTCTTAAACATGATTGGAATGTAAAACTGGCATGATTAATCATTACTATTGCTTCACTAATGTTTCCTACTGGTATACTTTTTTAAACAATGAAGTTACAACCTTGTATATTGATTATAGATAGTACGTTCACAAGGAAACACAACTGAAAATTACTTTGAGAGTATCATGATTTAGAATCTCTTAAGCAATAGGGTTTTAGATTTTGCAGATGAAAAATCAACTTTTAAATAGAGATTTATATGGTACTATGCTAAATCCTCCCTAGACAGCATGTGCAGTGCAATAAAGGGGGAAAAAAATTGAGACTCCCAAAAGGAAAACTCCCAGAATATCACCCAAAGACAATAGTTTTTATATTACCTCATTACTGTTTAGTCCTGACTAGCTAAATCTTCAGAACCATTTTTGGATGAAATGTAATAAAAGCAATCATAGTCTATTATGTAATAATATCACTGAGGGCAAATCAAACCATTTCAGAATGAAGGAAAATAGGTCACACACACACAAAGTTTCAGCCTTTGTAGTTATGCAGAGGCACAGAGCAATATATCACTGACAGTATCTGGATACCAGGTAAGAGAAGCTAAAGAGAATCATCTTAACATTATACTATATTATACTGTCTATTTAGGGGGGGAAAGCGGACCTGGTTACTATTGGATGAGAGACTATTAGGAAATTCCAGGACCTATACAATAGATTTGGAAGTTGAGAAACATCCTGGAAGAAAGAAATGGCAAGCTACTTTCATATTATTCCCAGGAATCTATATGAAGGATGCATGTTAAACTCAAGTGAATCTTTATTTTATATATTATGATGTATTAGCATATATTATGATCATATGCAATGCATGCCTTTAGGCTGTTGCCTGACAAGTTCAATCAACCATTTTTTCTCAGGAGAAGCTATGCATTTCTCAACAGACATCAGAAGCAATAATATGAAGCAGCTAATCAGGGTCTACTCAATTCATATAGTTTTCTATTCCAATATGCACCTTGCAAGGGTAAAAAACTACATGAGGCGATTTGTTCTGTATTTTGCAATCAGCAGTTAGCGGTGCAGTTGTAAATAGCGATAGTTCACTACGTAAGATAGTGATGTTGTGTACAGAGAAGGGGGAAAAGGCGACTGCCCTAAGCTCCTTGAATGAATGGTGAGTTGAAAGTGTAATAAACACATAAATGGAAGGGTCCCTTTTAAAAATGAAAAGCAGCCACTGAGAGAAGTTTCCTGGGATAGCTGACATGTCATCTGGCTAATAATTTCCAATCAAAATCGTCTGAAAAATATAAAGAACCATACTGTGTGGACTGAAAAGACTTTGGAGAAAAATGTTCAGTACACAAACTACTGAGAGAGAAAATTTTAAGCAAACCCTCCTCCTGAACCTTTCTCTGAAGATTTCAGAGAAATCAGAGGTTTTAGTTTTCTTTCAGGGCTTTACTTTGGATTAAATAAAGAGGGTGTAGATTAAATCAATGTTGGTGTGGAAGTTGTTTTTTCTATGTATTTCTATCACAGAGATAGAGAATATCAATAGTAGCTCTACCCTCATCCTTGTTCTTACTCTAGCTCCATTCTCAAACTCCATTCTTTCAATACAAAGCATAAATGTAGCTTATATAAATATATTGCTGTATGTAAATAGAGCCATCCACAGACTGGGGAATCTGCGCGATCAAGGTTCTTAGGATATTCTTCTGCGGAATCCACGTATGTCAGAGAGACAGGGAATGCTATGTTTAACCACCATGCTTACAGTTATCATATGAAATTAAAAGAATAGATCTTCTTGTATTTTTTATTACTATATTTCATGTCTGAATAGATGTATACTAATTCTTCATTTTGTAAGTCTGCTCAGTCTTTGAATGCTTCCTATGGTATCTTAGTGCAGTCATTTTGATAGTGACAGAAAAGCAATCTCTGATCTCAGACAGTAAATCTTTGTAAAATAAAATAAAATAAAAATCCAGTAATGATCTAAAGTAACCCTCAGTGGACCTTAGCAAGGAAATGCACCATGCTTGCAACAAATAAGTGTATAACCTCTTTGATCATTTAAACACATTGGAAATGTATAGCTCCATACACCTACAGAAGTAGAGGAGAACAAACGGTCTGTAAGAACAGAACTGATTGAATGCAGTGAATATAAACAAGAAGACTTTATCATATACTAGACAACCTGTGACCCATTGGATCATCGTTTCAGAGATATTTCCTTACCTGAACAGAGTAACAAAATGACCAAGGGCAAAAAAGCAGTGGAAGTGTGAGCGACTTGCGACTTGCTGCTGGCCTCCCCATTGACTTTGCATGTGGGAAGCTGGCAGGGAAAGTCATAAATCTTCCTTCCTTCCTTCCTTCCTTCCTTCCTTCCTTCCTTCCTTCCTTCCTTCCTTC